ACTAGTCTGTCATACAGACCTTGAAACAAATATATCCAATACAGTTGATGCACGTCTATAATAATTAGCAAGTCTGGATTACTGCAATTCTTATAAAAAATCTTGTCTCCTTTTTGTTATATATTTAAAGATATTTTAACAACCGGTTTTTTTCTGTGAAACCTTTTCATTTCAAAGACTAGATGTTAGTCTTGAAATCAACAAATGTATAGACCTCATTTGTAATTGATTGATAATGGAAAAACAGCCTTAAAGCTGCGTCTTTGAGATAGTACCATTGTCTAAGGAAGCCGTATTTCTCCATGCAGGGTTACGTCCCTTGGTCACGCCAGAAACCCATTGGGTAAATTAGAAACCTCTAAGGAAAAATAGACAGAGACAGGATAACTCTCCCCTTCCGACGCGTAGAGTCGAAACGACGGGTGATGATGGTTTTTTTTTTGCTTTTTAACGCCGCACTCAACAATATTCCAGCTATTTGAACGCAGTGTAGTGGAACATTTAGTTCCCTTAGTCGATCAAATTCATTGTTAATAATTTCCATCGTATTGGTGAAATTTACACTGCTAAGTATGTTTTACTTATTGTAGTACAGAATGTAGAATTTGTCTATACCTTTTAGGACCGCCTCCGTGGTCTAGTGGTAGAGCGTCCGCCCCAGAGAGCGGAAGGTCCGGGGTTCGATCCCCGGCCGCGTCATGCCACAACATGGTACTTGATGTTACCCTGTCTTTCGCTCGGCATTCAGGGGCTAAAACAAGGACTGTTCGGCTCGGAGTCAGTATTCATATTAAACTGCGTTAGGTATCTCAGTGAGCTAGCACTATAAATCGGCATCAGTCCGGACTAGTACAAACACACACACGTACATGCACGCCGCTATATAAGTGCAATAATCTTGGACGCGACGTTAAACCCCATTTCACCTCACCTATACTTTTTAGGCTACCTATCATCTTTTAACATTTCTTCGATCAATAATGAAATGTAAACATGATAAATTAATAATCGAATATAAATATTATCGTTTTGAGTGGGAAATGGGTGTGACGTTATAGTTTCCACTTTTGTTTTTGTAAGGATTAGTAAGAAGAAGTTTGGTGGAGGACTCTGGGTATCTTTTACAGAATGCGTCTATCCAACATGTACCATTATGTGACCATGTAGACAGAATCTCATTTGTGTTTTTAAAAGTGCCCAATGCTCATGTGATATTAGTGCTTGGGTATACCAAAGTTAACAGTAAATTATTTGAGGAAATCGGCAGTGAACTTATGAACACCATTTAGATAGGATGACTTTAGGATTTTTAATCCACTCTTTCACCGTGGGAGGTCACTCAACCGATTCATGAATTCTTTGTCAAAGACGGCGAGACTTAGTTAGAATCTGTGTTTATCTGTGACAGGTTCCCGCTGGTGACATTTCAGTGAACTTGTGACGTTGGATTCTACTATTCATAGTATTATATGAATACACGATGCCATTTAGAAAGTGGTCAAATGTAACAAATGTTATATTTGGGATAACGCTTTCTAAGTAAAGAACAGATTCTCGTACTTTTTGGGTTGTGTCAAGACCGGGATACGAACCCACTCTGCCAGAGTGAGGCACACGATCGCCAAACCACTCAGCCACCATGGCTTCCACAAAAATGAAAGTCCGACAACTGGTAGTCTAGATCACGTACTTTGTGTAACCCGTTGATACATTTGACCACTTTCTAAATGCCATTGTGTGTTCATAGCTTTCGGCCATGGGAGCCGTGACCCAACCCAAAAAGTACGATAATCTGTACTTTACACAGAAAGTGTTATCCCAAAGATAACATTTGTTACATAGTATAATAGTTTACCAAGTTGTAAAAAAATTGTATATGTATTATTTATGTGTTTAATATGTGAAAAAGTCCATGTGGGGAAATGTATTATGACGAATGTTTCATGCAATACAAACAGCACAGATATCAACATGACTAATTGAATACCTCGTTACTGTAAATTCAGTCTTATCCATTGAGTTTTACGTTTTGAGAGTTGCTTGCAAATGGCACAAAAAAACCATAATTGAATACCCTGTTACTGCAAATTCAGTCTTTATTCATTCAGTCACACTTTCACAATAATACACACAATAACAATAAACGTTAAACACTTTGTCAGTCGATAACACAACATGTTAACAGTTTTGTTTCCCACTCGTGACACACGGAAAGGGTAATATGCATCAGTGAACTTCTACAGGAAAAGCCCAAGGGAAGGAATATGAAAAGCAGCGGCGGAAAATCACATATTAAATAACAGTTACATGTGATCAAACAGGTTCATTTCTTTGAGGGGCATTTAGACATTGGACCAGTAATGTGTGCATGTGTGTCTATTATCTAGTAAAAACAAAGCATTGTTAAGATAAGAAAACTACATTAAAAAAAAAATCATCGAGTAGAAGTGGCATGGAATTAACTGTGTACTGGACCATTTCGTTGTTTTTAGCTGTATTTTGGTTATAACAGACAGATAGTTAATTTAAGTCTAACCTTAGATACAGCTATAATATATACAGGTTAAACATATACAAATGTTCTCAGCCAAAGGTTAATATATACAGTATGAAACAACACCTTTCTTCACATGAAAGTATCTGTTTAAAATATGGATGTATAAAATTCACCAAATCTATAAGGAACTTGATCATGAGATGATAATGACATTATAGATCCGTACTTCTGCACATCAGTTAAAGAGAGTTTTTGTAAAACAAGCTAAATATTAAAGATTATGACATGTAGAAACCTCGGTTAACGATAGCAATGCTTGAATTTACACCCTTGTCTGTGATATTACAACATTGGCAATAGGCAATTGTTGCAAGCGACTGGAGCGTGTACTCACCGGAAGTTATAATCGCAAAAGAATTGCCGCTTAGCGCATGCGAATCAAGGGCAGATAAATATGTTTCTAATAGACCCTATGATCGTAGGTGCGATTCCCGGTTCGCCCCGATTATATTTCTTGGTTTGTCAGCACCATGCTCGTGGGTTTCACCAATATTGTAAACGTCTGAGACCTACTTGGGGCTATCCTCCCACATCAAGCTGACACGCCGTGATATAACTGGAATACCGTTCCAAATTAAAGGTGCCTTGAACCCAACTCACTTACCCACCCAATGTTGCGTGAATCGGTACACTTTGAACCCATTCGTGACCAACTCGTGTTATTCCGGGACAAGCCGAATAGCGACTCGTGCCCCTCTCGTGGCCATTTTTGCGACCGGGTTCCGCTTTAATTGTCAACTTGTTGCGTAATGGTTCACATATATTTCCCCGTATATTATATATATTTCACATGCGGATTTATACAGTATGCTTGAACATATTAATTGTGTCTTGGGTATATTTTTAGATGCAAGACATATGTAAAATCGAAAATTGGTACTGAGGGATTCTTTGACGAAGAAATTGAAATCATACGCGCATTCTCATTGGTTTGTCGTATTTTCGCACATAACATTCATCGATAGGGGGACGAGTCTTCTTGCAGGTTACGGAAAGGGGCGAGTAGTGACGAATGACTTTGAACCATAGAAATTGCATGTTAAGCTTTACAATGACAAATACATTACTGCATATGCATAACATTACGCCTGGGTTGCGCGTACAGAGATAGTTCTTATCAGTTCTACGTTCTTGTATCGGAGTTCAAAATCCAGGTCGCCTTGTTCAAGAACACTGCCATGTTGGTGTTATTACTGTTGTTCTCCCTGCTTCAATATGGCCGCACATTTGACCCTGGGTGCAGCTTCATGAACGGTCAGTGTGTGTACAGTATCACGCTCGGCCACGAGGGTCAGTGCGACGCTCAGACCACTGCCGCCACCACCGCCTCCACCTCCTGCTGTCGTGCTGTAGAAGGTGACGTCGCGCTGATGAAGGCGTCCATGGCGCTGATGACGAAGCAGATTACACAGCTTCAGAATGATGTAGGTTATGTTATGAGCCTGAACGTGACGTACGCTGCGCAGTTTCAGAATACCGTAGATTATATTATGAGACAATTCGTGACGTACGGTGCACATCTTATGGCAGGGGCGGTAGGGTAGCCTAGGGGTTAAAGCGTTCGCTCCTCATGCCAAAGACCCGGGTTCGATTCCAGAAAAGGGTACAATGTGTGAAGCCCGTTTCTGGTGTCCCCAGCCGTAATATTCAGGAATATTGCAAAAAGCTGCGTAAAACGATATTCACTCATATATATTCATATATAGTAGGTTATATCATGATATACATACACATCTGCAGAAAACGGGAGGTTAAGTTATGAGACAACACCTGGCCCATTCACGGGAACTCAGAGGTCAAGTCTATGTTAGGGTAAGACAAGTATTTATGTCAGTCAGTAAATGAGTTGGGTCCTATCCCTTATTTCCATGTTCATCTATGAGGAAATCCAGCGCTTCACATATTGTTTTCTCAGTAAATTTCAGACGATATTTGCTTCCATTTTTGACAAATTGTCCTGTACCTTTGAAGATAGTGATGTAAGACAGTCACGTGCACGAAATTAATTTCAATATGGATAACTGTCTGTGCGGCCGAGGCCCCAAGATTGGATTGATGAGATCCGAGTGTCTTATCAGACGGTAAGTCGGGGGCACGATTCGCTGTGCAGAGTTGCGTCCCATGGGTACGCCAGAAACCTATGATTGTGGGTCCGAATCCCGGTTCGCCCCGATGATGTTTCTAGGTTTGTCAGCACCATACCCGTGCTCGTGGGTTTCACCGAAGTGGTAAACGTCTGAGACCTGCATCACTTCGGGCTTTCCTCCCACATTAAGCTGACACCCCTGATATAACTGGAATGCTGTTAAAAGCGACGTTAAACCTAACTCACTCACTCACTAATAATCTAGACGGTAAGTCAATTATTAAACGATGTCGGACCTCAAATACCTGGGTCGGGTTTGATTCCCATATGTACTGTCTACTTTTTCACCTTCACACATATGCGCATAATTTCAGACTGATGTAAACTTGGCCTCTCACCATGGAATCTCCAGCACGGCTCAGCTCCAGCGAGCTCTGCTGGAGACGGAGTCTGAGCTTGACAACGTAACCAAGCAAGCAGTCGTTGAGATCACGCGTCTACGCCAGGAGCTGGACGCTTGTAGGAAGAGACCGGACTGCCCTGGCCGACCACGTACAACTACCACCACAACGCCAACTCCCGCAACTACCGCAACTATCGCAACTATGGCAACTACCACAACGACTACCACACCCGGTGGGTCTCACGAACTCCTCCTGTAGCCGATATCCTCTAGGTTTTCCTGGACAGAAGTAGCCAAGCGCTGGTTTGATTATTTACACCGCACTTTGCAGCTTTGATATTGCTGACTGGCATAAAACAAGATTCACTCATATTTTTGGAATTTCAGTTGAAGAGAAGTTATATATTTCGTATTTATTTTTCTTGTGTAATTAATTTTCAATGATATAATTCTTTAAGATGTCAACCCCAACCAAGCACCGCATTAACTACTTCCTGAAAGAGTAGACACGGGTAGCCTGTGGCCCAAGGCGGTACGACCGCCTCCCTGGTCTAGTGGTAGTGCTTCCGCCCGGAGAGCGGTTCGATCCCCGACCACGTCATACCAAAAGACGTCAAAAGGTGGTATTTGTTGTTACCCTGTCTGGCGCTCGGCATAAAGGAAAAAACAAGGACTGTTCGGCTCGGAGTATACTATGTGTGAATTGGATATTCATGTTAAACTGCGGCATGTTATCATAGTGGGCTTGCACTATAAAACCGTATTAGTCCGGACCAGTACTAGCAGCTACTCAGCCCCACACATACACGTGCATGCACGTCGCTATATAAGTGTAACAAGCTTGAACGCGACGTTGAGCCACAGGTCACCCCAGGTCACAATTATGCGTCCCTCAATCATGCCAGGTTCGCTGAACATGGGTTCGAATCGCTATGACTATTATACTTGGTTTGTGTACACCATAACCGTGGCCTCCGAAACAACTATGTTTTACTCCCTTGTTACTTGGGGGAAGCAGTCTGAGGCCCCGCGATTCCCTGCAGAGTTGCGTCCCTTGACGTCCAGAAACTTTCGCTCTGATTTAGATTTAAGGTTTGTCAGCACCACAATGGTAAATGTCTTAGACCTGCATCATATCGCCCCCCCCCCCCCCCCCCCCCCCCCCCCCTCCTGTCTACATGGGCGCTCAACCCAACTCACTCACTCACTCCGGAATGATAAACGAAGGATACATGCATGCGACTCCGCTCGAATATGAGCGCTTTAATACACAATTCACCTTTTCATGACAGTCATTATCAACTACCACACCACCTACTGCGACTTCGAGGACAACGACAACTGCGGGTACAACCAGTCCAGCCGAGGCGTGTCGAAATGGTACCGCGGGGAGGGCAAACTATCCTCTTTAACGGGGCCTGTGAGTGACCACACCCTAGGCACCCCTAGTGGTAAGAATGAGGGGATACGAGTACCTGGTTCTAAACACCTTGGGCGCGTCGCAAGCCACGAATCGCTTAGAGTAAGCAACTTAATCGCTCATCCCGGGGTCTGCAACAGTTCGAAGCCCTTGCGCACTCTTCCAAAATGTCGTGTGTGTGTGTGTGTGTGTGTGTGTGTGTGTGCGCGCGCGCGTGCGTGCGTGTGTGAGAGCCTATGTGTAAGACGCACATGTGTGTAAGGATGTGAGTGTGTGTGAGTATGTGTGTGTGTATGTATGTTAGTGCGTGTGTGTGTATGTGGATGTGTGTGTGTGTGCGCATGTGTGTGTATGTAAGTGCGTGTCTGTATAGGGCGCACGCGTGTGTGTATGTGGATGTGTGTGTCAGTTTGTGTGTGTGTATGTGTGAGTATGTCTCTGTGTGTCAGTATGTGCGTGTGTGAGTGCGTGAGTGCGTGTGTGTGTTTGTGTGTGTGTGTGTGTGTGTGTGTGTGTGTGTAGGGCGCACACGTGTGAATGTGTGTGAGTATGCGAGTATCTGTCAGTATGTGCGTGTGTTGGGCGCACGCATGCATTTGTCAGTATGTGTGTGTTTGTACGTGTGTGCGTGCGTGCGTGCGTGCGTGCGTGCGTGCGTGCGTGCGTGCGTGCGTGCGTGTGTATTGATGGAGGAATGGGGGAACGTGTATTTGGCACTGATGATAAGTGGTATTAGGTACAACAATATGCATTCCATAGCTGCCAGAAAAAGCATTGTCCTTGGTTTCCCTCACCTTACCTGTGCCCATTCCGCGATATGACCAATATATTGCCGAAAGTAGCCTTACACCCTTTACTGATGTCTATATTATATACATGGATTGTAAACCTGCTTTGTTGAAAACCCATGCTTTTCGTTAGAGGCGAATATCGGGATCGGGTGGTCAGGCTCGCTGACTTGGTTGATGTAGTCATCGATTCCCAATTGCGTAGATCGATGCTCATGATGTCAGTCACTGGATTGTCTCGTCCAGATTCGATTTTATACAGACCACCGTCATATACTGAAATATTTCTGATTGCGGCGTTAAACAACAAACAAACCAACAAATGTCGAAAACCGTGGTTAAATGGGTTTAGAACCCGGAAATCCTCTTGATATTTTACTGACTTTGGATAGTATGTTTTTTTTATCCTACCTGTGAACAACACAGTCAATCACATCCTACCGAAATACGGCGTTCTGACGAAAACTTAGAACTGAATTCGAAACGGTTATTTCTCATTATGACGAACGTCGTCACATTTCGTATGTAGTTTTCTAATGTAGTTTCCGTTTTCATATTTCCATACGTACATTACTGTTTAATTAAATGTATGTTCAAAATTATATTCCAGGCGTGTATATGTATATAGATGCTTATAAATCGGCCCAGTGGTATGCACCTCAGACGGTCAGTGCCCTGCTGGAGTCGCCTGTGTTCGCCCCCTCATCCAGCTACTGTCTCCGCTTCTGGTACAACATGTTTGGGGCGAACATAGAGGACCTCCACGTCTATGTCAAGGTAAGCATTGGGACTGGCCTTTAAGCTGACCATGGATACAGTTTCCTGTTTGGGGGAGGGGAAGTCCTTTGTGTCGGTACGTGTTCTGATGGGGGATGAGAATGCGTGAGGGAATTTGGGTGTAAGAGGTAAGAATAGGGGAAGGGGTAGGGTGGGGGAGTTTGGGTGTGTTTGAAGGCGCTGGGATGGGATAGGGGAATTCCGTTGTGTGTGTAGGCGCTGGGATGGGGCAGGGTTAGGGTTAGGGTTAGGGGAGTTTTGGAGTGTTTGTAGGCGCTGGGATGGGGCAGGGTTAGAGTTTTGGGAGTTTCAGTGTGTTTGTAGGCGCTGGGATGGGATAAGGGAATGTGTTTGTAGGCGCATGCTTTGTCCGAGTAAACGGAAGTCACGTCACAGAGCGCAAGCTAACCTCAGCTCAATCGAACAGCTATATTCTATCAATTTTGATTTTGTTTGAATTGCTTTACAAACTCATAATAAAGCATGTCTGTGAGATAAATTCGTTGTAACAGGATCACTCGGGGTACACATGGTTTTATACTTGGAGGCGAGTGGTATAAAACCTTACGAGGTACCTTTATAACCCCATGAACCCCTCGTGATCCTGCTACAACTTATAATAAATTCGAGGTTTTCTGAAAGGTTGGCGGTGGTCTTGGTAACCCAGTGTGGACGCGGTCCAAAGGCAACTCTATCATGTGGCTGATGGGACAGGTGGACCTAGACTCTGAATATACCTCTAGGCCGTTCCATGTACGTACATCCCAGCACGTTAAGATAATAGCGGAAGTGATTATTCTGCTTATTATCTGACATCAAGACTATCCATGTACGCACAACACAACGCGTTAAGCTAGGTGTGAAAGTGTATATTGTGTTTGCTCGCTCACATGAAGATCATTCCATGAATGAATGCGGGATCGGGTGGTCAGGCTCGCTGACTTGGTTGATGCATGTCATCGTATCCCAATTGCATGGATCGATGCTCATGATGTCTGCTCACTGGATTGTCTGGTCCAGACTCGATTATTTACAGACCGCCGTCATATAGCTGGAATATTGCTGAGTGCGGCGTTAAACAAACAAACAAACAAACAAACAAACATGAATGAATGAATGAATATCGTTATTTCTTCCAGATAAATCCGAATATTCTCAACATATGAAAATCAAGTAATCAAATAATTAAATAATAAGTAATGAAACATACTGAGGGCTATAAACAGTAAGAAATATTGGTAATATTAGTACACGTTGTTCAGGATATTTTTAATGATATATAAATACTTTGAGAATTCTATAATAGTGCCATCCCGTGTTATGTCATGAATGGCATTGTTATCTTCATCAAGAAAGAATGCCAAATGATCATGTTCCACCATAATCTCTATTTACCTAAGTGGTATGGACAAGCCGTGATATAACTGAATTACTGTTTTAAGCGGCAGCAGACCCAGATCACTCCCCGGGTCCAGACATAAAGAGCCGGGTCTAGCTGCTTAGAATGTTTGTGCAGGCATAATGTGACACAGTATTTCATGATTATATATTTCACTTCAACACAACAGCACCGACATCCTTGTGGTTTGCAGTGTTTAAAGCACAGTAAACAAGTGGTCGATAGCATGAACATCATTCCGAGTCGTCGAGTCCGGGTGATTGGCAATCAATCAACTGTCACATGCTGTCAAACATTGCCACATGGCTGAATATGTCATACAATGCACAGACAATATAGCGTTTGTTATTTTCACAAATATGCTCTCAGATAGTGTTTGAGGCAACATCACGAAGTTACATGACGAAGCCTACCAGCACATACAAATACGACCCCGTCTACCACGACACGAAAGGCGACATCGCCATCGACGACGTGCTCGCCTATAACACAACTTGTAAAAGTAAGATAAGTTTCATCATCCACTTGACCGACCCTAATCATTGATAATCGGAGCTTTTAAGTCTGAGTTGCAGGTTATATCACAGTGGAGAAATCTATGGGCAGTTACATCCATGATCTTAGTCATAAAGATTATCAGATATTATATAAAAGTATATTTCATAATGTCATTTCATGTTTAATTGTAGTTGTGAACGATGCAGTCGTTATTTCAACATGGGCGATGGATTTGAAAAGATTCAACACACAGCAAGGACGCAGACACAATACTGACACAGCCAGGACAAACGCTGCCACGACCAGGGCACTGACTAGACACTGACACAGCCTGGACACTGACTAGACACTGACACAGCCAGGGCACTGACTAGACACTGACACAGCCTGGACACTGACTAGACACTGGCGCAGCCTGGACACTGACTAGACACTGGCACAGCCTGGACACTGACTAGACACTGACACAGCCAGGGCACTGACTAGACACTGACACAGCCAGGGCACTGACTAGACACTGGCACAGCCTGGACACTGACTAGACACTGACACAGCCTGGACACTGACTAGACACTGGCGCAGCCTGGACACTGACTAGACACTGGCGCAGCCTGGACACTGACTAGACACTGGCGCAGCCTGGACACTGACTAGACACTGGCACAGCCTGGACACTGACTAGACACTGACACAGCCTGGACACTGACTAGACACTGACACAGCCTGGACACTGACTAGACACTGACACAACCTGAACACTGACTAGACACTGACACAACCTGAACACTGACTAGACACTGACACAGCCTGGACACTGACTAGACACTGACACAGCCTGGACACTGACTAGACACTGGCGCAGCCTGGACACTGACTAGACACTGGCGCAGCCTGGACACTGACTAGACACTGGCGCAGCCTGGACACTGACTAGACACTGGCGCAGCCTGGACACTGACTAGACACTGGCGCAGCCTGGACACTGACTAGACACTGGCGCAGCCTGGACACTGACTAGACACTGGCGCAGCCTGGACACTGACTAGACACTGACACAGCCTGGACACTGACTAGACACTGGCGCAGCCTGGACACTGACTAGACACTGGCGCAGCCTGGACACTGACTAGACACTGGCGCAGCCTGGACACTGACTAGACACTGGCACAGCCTGGACACTGACTAGACACTGGCACAGCCTGGACACTGACTAGACACTGACACAGCCTGGACACTGACTAGACACTGGCGCAGCCTGGACACTGACTAGACACTGACACTGGCAGGACACATACTATACACCGACAGACCAAAGGAGACTGTCACGACGCATGGTAGACACTGACTCAAATTGAAATTGACACAACCTGGACACTGCTTAGTTACTGACACAACCTGGACACTGCTTAGTTACTGACACAACCTGGACACTGGTTAGTTAATGACACAACCTGGACACTGGTTAGTTAATGACACAACCTGGACACGGGTTAGTTAATGACACAACCTGGACACTGCTTAGTTACTGACACAACCTGGACACTGCTTAGTTACTGACACAACCTGGACACTGGTTAGTTAATGACACAACCTGGACACTGCTTAGTTAATGACACAACCTGGACACTGCTTAGTTACTGACACAACCTGGACACTGGTTAGTTAATGACACAACCTGGACACTGCTTAGTTACTGACACAACCTGGACACTGGTTAGTTAATGACACAACCTGGACACTGGTTAGTTAATGACACAACCTGGACACTGGTTAGTTACTGACACAACCTGGACACTGGTTAGTTACTGACACAACCTGGACACTGGTTAGTTACTGACACAACCTGGACACAGCCTAGACACTGACACAACCTGGACACTGCTTAGTTACTGACACAACCTGGACACTGGTTAGTTAATGACAGAACCTGGACACGGGTTAGTTAATGACACAACCTGGACACTGGTTAGTTACTGACACAACCTGGACACTGCTTAGTTACTGACACAACCTGGACACTGGTTAGTTAATGACACAACCTGGACACTGGTTAGTTACTGACACAACCTGGACACTGGTTAGTTAATGACACAACCTGGACACGGGTTAGTTAATGACACAACCTGGACACGGGTTAGTTAATGACACAACCTGGACACTGCTTAGTTACTGACACAACCTGGACACTGCTTAGTTACTGACACAACCTGGACACTGGTTAGTTAATGACACAACCTGGACACTGCTTAGTTAATGACACAACCTGGACACTGCTTAGTTACTGACACAACCTGGACACTGGTTAGTTAATGACACAACCTGGACCCTGCTTAGTTACTGACACAACCGGGACACTGGTTAGTTAATGACACAACCTGGACACTGGTTAGTTAATGACACAACCAGGACACTGGTTAGTTACTGACACAACCTGGACACTGCTTAGTTACTGACACAACCTGGACACTGGTTAGTTAATGACACAACCTGGACACTGGTTAGTTACTGACACAACCTGGACACTTGTTAGTTAATGACACAACCTGGACACTGCTTAGTTACTGACACAACCTGGACACTGGTTAGTTAATGACACAACCTGGACACTGGTTAGTTACTGACACAACCTGGACACTGGTTAGTTAATGACACAACCTGGACACTGGTTAGTTACTGACACAACCTGGACACTGGTTAGTTAATGACACAACCTGGACACTGCTTAGTTACTGACACAACCTGGACACTGGTTAGTTAATGACACAACCTGGACACTGCTTAGTTACTGACACAACCTGGACACTGGTTAGTTAATGACACAACCTGGACACTGGTTAGTTACTGACACAACCTGGACACTGGTTAGTTAATGACACAACCTGGACACTGCTTAGTTACTGACACAACCTGGACACTGGTTAGTTAATGACACAACCTGGACACTGCTTAGTTACTGACACAACCTGGACACTGGTTAGTTAATGACACAACCTAGACACAGCCTAGACACTGACACAACCTGGACACTGCTTAGTTACTGACACAACCTGGATACTGGTTAGTTAATGACACAACCTAGACACAGACTAGACACTGACACAGCCTGGACACTGACTAGACACTGGCACAACCTGGACACTGTTTAGACACTGACACAATCTTGACACTGACTAGATAATGACACATCCTGTACACAGATTCGACACTGACACAGGCAGGACACTGACAAGACACTGACACAACCTGGACACCAACTAGGCACTCACACAGGCAGGACACAGAGCAGACCCCTACACAACAGGACACAGTATTGACATATCCAGGACACAGCCAAGACAATGACACAGCCAAAACACAGATTCGACACTGAAACAACCAGGAGACAAACTGTTCACGGAAACAGGAAGGACACAGATATAGTCAGGACACTAACACAGCAGGGACAAGCGGGAAAGTTTTCAGGAGCTATATCCTATTTTCAGACCTTCCCGAGTGCCCTCCTGGTTCCTTACTGCGGACGGGGAACGACAGCCGTTCTTGCTACACCTTCCACACATCGGCCGCGTTTTGGTTCAGAGGCCACGTGAAGTGTAAAGAAGAGAATGCCCGCTCCCATTTGGTTGCCATCAACTCTAAGGAGGAACAGGATTTCCTTGTCAACATCATCAAGAGAGATGCAGGTGTCGATAAATGACAAGAATGTGTTACTTTAGTCTGGGCCCTATGGGAATGCAGGTCAGAGTAGTCCCCATATACCTCACACTTGTAAGAGCTGATGTGCCGCCTCCGTGGTCTTGTGGTAGAGCGTCCGCCCGGAGAGCGGAAGGTCCGGGGTTCGATCCCCGGCCGCGTCATACCAAAAGACGTTAAAAGATGGTACTTGTTGTTACCCTGTCTGGCGCTCAAAATTAAGGGGCTAAAACAAGGACTGGTCGGCTCGGAGTCAGTATACTGTGTCTGAATGGGGTATTCATGTTAAACTGCGGCATGGTATCTCAGTGAGCTAGCACTATAAATCGGCATCAGTCCGGACTAGTACAAGCAGCCACACACACACACGTGCAAGCACGTCGCTATATAAGTGCAATAATCTTGGACGCGACGTTAAACCCAATTTCACCTCACCTGTAAGAGCTGATTGAATGGCAATCTGGTGGTCAGGCTTCGTGACTTCGCTGATCTTGCGTCACCGTGGACAGTGGATCGTTTCTACATCCCCACCACACACCATCACCGCCACAATAACAAGTGAATAGATACATGTTTTTCACTAAATGCCCTAAACACAGTTGTGTTGTGAGGCCCTAATTATAAGACGGTATTGGTATTGAAGCATTGCCCACACATGTTCTGAGAAACAGCGTTTGCGTGGATGACTAGAAAGACCTTACCAGTGTGTCATCACCCCAAATGCCGTGGACCAATGCTGTTTGTAATGGTTCAGAGATAATCCCAGCTTCGCTGTTGCTGTAACGGCTTAAAACTTCACTCACTTACTCTCTCCTTTCCAAAATAGCCCTGACGGCAGCCGGCACTGCCGGCTTCTTCACCTCGGGCAACGACGAAACGATGGAGAAGCATTTCCAATGGACGGGGGCGGAGATTTCCAACAACGCTACCTATACCAACTGGTATCCAGGGCAACCAAACAACGTGGGCGCCATGCAACATTGCTTACTGATGGAATATCCCAACGCGGACTATCAGTGGGGAGATGTTGAGTGTGACACCGCACACCCCTACATATGTGAAGTGGACCTGCCGAACGCCACGCACCAACCAGGGCCGTCTCTGTGACGTGTGGAATATCGATCCAAATAAAACAATAATTTCAATTTGTTAATTTTTAACTACGTTAGTGCATGTCCACGATGATCTTACTTACTGAACGGTATCAATATTGTTACTGGAATTATCATAATGACTGATATATACTCATGAGCATTAATTAAAGCACCACACGCTATTTTGTGAGTGAGTGAGTTGTGTTTAACGCCGCTTTTAACATTATTCCAGTTATATCACGGCGTGTCAGCTTAATATGGGAGGAAAGCCCGAAGTGATGCAGGTCTAAGACGTTTACCACTTCGGTGAAACCCACGAGCACGGGTATGGTGCTGACAAACCTAGAAACATAATTGGGGCGAACCGGGATTCGACTCACAATCATAGGTTTCTGGCGTGCCCAAGAGACGCAACTCTGCACAGCGAATCGCGGCGCCTTAGACGACTGGCCCGCTATTTTGGATATGTGACTCATTAAAAAATGACTAGTGTGATTCATCGTCGGGAACATGACTAAAGAGAAAGCCGGGCACTGCCATCACATTAGTAATGAAGCTGACACCGGCAATTATGCGAAGAAGTCTAGAAAAGGTGAGGTGAGGTGAAATTGGGTTTAACGTCGCGTCCAAGATTATTGCACTTATATGGCGACGTGCATGCACGTGTATGTGTGTGTGTGGCTGCTTGTACTAGTCCGAACTGATGCCGATTTATAGTGCTAGCTCACTGAGATACCATGCCGCAGTTTAACATGAATACCCCACTCAGACACAGTATACTGACTCCGAGCCGACCAGTCCTTGTTTTAGCCCCTTAATGTCGAGCGCCAGACAGGGTAACAACAAGTACAATCTTTTAACGTCTTTTTGTATGACGCGGCCCGGGATCGAACCCTGGACCTTCCGCTCTCCGGGCGGACGCTCTACCACAAGACCACGGAGGCGGTCTCTAGAAAAGGTAATTTCAACAACGTTAACGTTGAAAAGTATCAGCACCCAGTCCACACCACGAATCGGACTGTCACATTATGTTGTGAAATACGATGATTGTCAACCCAGGAATCACTGACTGCAATCGGCATCTGGAGTACCCTCCCTCTCACGGGTGACATTCGCCAGTCGTCTCCTCATGGTGCTGATCAGACGTCTGATATTCAACATTGGGATCCTCTGTCATTCCTGGTTCAGTGGCTTCGTCAGTTCGAAATTATTCCTGTTTTGAACTCGATAGTCCCTGGCTCTCACTAAGCGTCCAAGATAATCCCAAATGTGTTCAGTTAGGTTCAGATCAGGGTTTTGTCCTTATTTTTCGGAATTTGATTTTGAATCAGGTGGTGCTTAATTAATGATCGTGTGTATACATTCGGCTTTATCTATATCAGTATGTTCTGAGAAAACAGGACACAGACTGGACGAGACACCTGCCGAATCTAACCTTCACAACCACACCTTAAATGGAGCATTTGTCTTGTATCTTCATCCAGATGAAACATCATCATGGTGAGCCACGCAGTGATTCCAATGCCCAGTACACAATGCGTGTGGTAAGAACCGACTACAATCAACCTTATTAAAGAAGGTTTCAGAAGATCCGTGTTAGAATTGGTATTCAGTAACCGATGCTTGTAGTAAGAGGTGGTCAGGCTCATTGACTTGATTGATACATGTCATCGCATCCCAATTGCGTTATTCGATGCTCATGAGTGAGTGAGTATGGTTTTACGCCGCTTTTAGCAATATTCCAGCAATATCACGGCGGGGGACACCAGAAATGGGCTTCACACATTGTACCCATGTTGGGAATCGAACCCGGGTCTTCTGCGTGACGAGCGAACGCTTTAACCACTAGGCTACCCGACCGCCCCCGATGCTCATGATGCTAATCACTGGATCGTCTGGCTCAGATTCGATCATTTACACTATAATCCTGCGCCTCTACTGTTTATGTTTGAACGTCCCATTCTCTGATGTGCTGATATGAGCATTGGCCATTGCAATGAAACAAACCTTTAGTAGCTAGAGAAAGTGACGAATTATTAATATTAAAAGTGAAAGTTGACTGAATATATGTCATATCTCAGACTCTTCTGAAGTTGACCCATGCGTAAGTCTATATATAGCTCCCGTGTTAATGTCTATTTTTAACCTGGAAATCCCAGGTTATAGGGCTACTGCGTTCTTACATGATATATGTGTGTTGACGGAAGCATGGTTTACAGGAAACCGAACGAAGCAAATATTGTGAGTATCGTCTGTAATATTATAGTCCACGATAGCATTTTGTATTGCTGAATGGTCATTCAGACCGTGATTCGGGAAGAAGTTGGTACACGCACCTAGCATGATCACAGCCATGTTACTGCTGACAGCGGCGGTTAACCACACCGAACAACGAACACTGTGGGCCTGCGTCTCTACTGTTTGAACCTCCCCATTGTTTGATGTGCTGATGTCTGAATTACCCATGAGGAACTTTCGTTGCTGCTGAACGCGACGAATTATTAATATTAAAAAAGGAAATTACTTTATATATTTTCCTTTTGACATATGTGCATGCTGACGTGTGTACGTATTTCCGTTCTTGTTGAGTGTAGAAACTGCGAGAGTTTGACAACGTCGCTACAATTATTTTCCATTTGACATATGCTTCAGTAGTTGTGTATTTATACGCTAGATCAAATATGTTAAATGTGCCTGTTTGTTCAGGTCTTTGGAAAATTAAATATTATTTTTTAAAAATCAATTCAATCTTATAGTAAATCTTGTAATTTGGGATAATTCAAAACTGTACTTTGGAAACATGCAACATATATTCCATTTCAATTCATTTACTATTTTCAAAATTTCACAAGGAACTAATAATCATTACTAGACGTGAATTATCTGTTATCAAAACGTCTTTAGATTTTAATATTTACGATGTATTGAAGTCTCACATTCAGAAGTAAAATTTAAGGAAGAAAGAGACACTGACATTTATAAAGACGAAATTTTCCGAATGTAGTTTACACATACACACAAACACACAGACACACACGCAAACACACATACCTTCACATCTTATCTAACGACGCACGACGCATGTAGTTTACACACACGCGCACACAGACATACACACGCCACACACCAACACCACACACTCATACAACACACACACATCTTCACATCTTATCTAGTAACGCATGACGTATGTAGTTTACACACACACATCACACACATACCCACACACACACCACACATGCTCACTCACATACAGTCACACACAAACACACACACTCATACATACATACATACATACATACATACATACATACATACATACATACATACACACACACCCCACACACATGCATACACTCACACCACACATGCTCACACTCATACACACACTCATACATACACACACACACACTCTCGCACATCACACACACTCACACCACACACGCATACACTCTCACATACACCACACACATACACTCATACACACACTCACACATGTACATGTACATACACACCCACACACATACACCACCCACCACACACACAAACACACACACCCCACACCACACATACACTCTCACACACACTCACCACACACATACACACACTCATACATGTACATACACACCCACACACATACACCACACCCACACCACCCACCCACACACACCCCACACCACACATACACTCTCACACACACTCACACACACACATACACTCATTCATACATGTACATACACACCCACACACATACACCACCCCCACACCACACACCACCCCCACACAAACACTCCCCCCCCACACTCTCACACCCACTCACACACATACACACACCCCCCATCCACACACAAACACACCCCCCCCCCCCAAACACAACCCACACACCAACACACCCACAGCCCCCCAACACACCACACACCACCCCCACTCACACACATACACACCACACACCCACACACACCCACAACCCCCCCTCCTCCTCCCCCCCCCCCCCCCGGCGGGGGACACCAGAAATGGGCTTCACACATTGTACCTATGTTGGGAATCGAACCCGGGTCTTCGGCGTGACGAGCAAACGCTTTAACCACTAGGCTACCCGACCGCCCCCGATGCTCATGATGCTAATCACTGGATCGTCTGGCTCAGATTCGATCATTTACACTATAATCCTGCGCCTCTACTGTTTATATTTGAACGTCCCATTCTCTGATGTGCTGATGTGAGCATTGGCCATTGCAATGAAACAAACCTTTAGTAGCTAGAGAAAGTGACGAATTATTAATATTAAAAGTGAAAGTTGACTGAATATATGTCATATCTCAGACTCTTCTGAAGTTGACCCATGCGTAAGTCTATATATAGCTCCCGTGTTAATGTCTATTTTTAACCTGGAAATCCCAGGTTATAGGGCTACTGCGTTCTTACATGATATATGTGTGTTGACGGAAGCATGGTTTACAGGAAACCGAACGAAGCAAATATTGTGAGTATCGTCTGTAATATTATAGTCCACGATAGCATTTTGTATTGCTGAATGGTCATTCGGACCGTGATTCGGGAAGTAGTTGGTACACGCACCTAGCATGATCACAGCCATGTTACTGCTGACAGCGGCGGTTAACCACACCGAACAACGAACACTGTGGGCCTGCGTCTCTACTGTTTGAACCTCCCCATTGTTTGATGTGCTGATGTCTGAATTACCCATAAGGAACTTTCGTTGCTGCTGAACGCGACGAATTATTAATATTAAAAAAGGAAATTACTTTATATATTTTCCTTTTGCCACATATGTGCATGCTGACGTGTGTACGTATTTCCGTTCTTGTTGAGTGTAGAAACTGCGAGAGTTTGACAACGTCGCTACAATTATTTTCCATTTGACATATGCTTCAGTAGTTGTGTATTTATACGCTAGATCAAATATGTTAAATGTGCCTGTTTGTTCAGGTCTTTGGAAAATTAAATATTATTTTTTAAAAATCAATTCAATCTTATAGTAAATCTTGTAATTTGGGATAATTCAAAACTGTACTTTGGAAACATGCAACATATATTCCATTTCAATTCATTTACTATTTTCAAAATTTCACAAGGAACTAATAATCATTACTAGACGTGAATTATCTGTTATCAAAACGTCTTTAGATTTTAATATTTACGATGTATTGAAGTCTCACATTCAGAAGTAAAATTTAAGGAAGAAAGAGACACTGACATTTATAAAGACGAAATTTTCCGAATGGAGTTTACACATACACACAAACACACAGACACACACGCAAACACACATACCTTCACATCTTATCTAACGACGCACGACGCATGTAGTTTACACACACGCGCACACAGACATACACACGCCACACACCAACACCACACACTCATACAACACACACACATCTTCACATCTTATCTAGTAACGCATGACGTATGTAGTTTACACACACACATCACACACATACCCACACACACACCACACATGCTCACTCACATACACTCACATACAAACACACACACTCATACATACATACATACATACATACATACATACATACATACATACATACATACATACATACATACATACATACACACACACCCCACACACATGCATACACTCACACCACACATGCTCACACTCATACACACACTCATACATACACACACACACACACACTCTCGCACATCACACACACTCACACCACACACGCATACACTCTCACACACACCACACACATACACTCATACACACACTCACACATGTACATGTACATACACACCCACACACATACACCACCCACCACACACACAAACACACACACCCCACACCACACATACACTCTCACACACACTCACCACACACACACACACACTCATACATGTACATACACACCCACACACATACACCACACCCACACCACCCACACACACACACCCCACACCACACATACACTCTCACACACACTCACACACACACATACACTCATTCATACATGTACATACACACCAACAAACATACACCACCCCCACACCACCCCCACCCCCACACAAACACCCCCCCACACACACACTCTCACACCCACTCACACACATACACACCACACCCATCCACACACAAACACCCCCCCCCCCCCCCCCAAACACAACCCACACACCAACACACCCACAGCCCCCCAACACACCACACACCACCCCCACTCACACACACACACACCGCACGCACACCCCCCACAGCCTCCCCCTCATCCCATCCCCCCGGCGGGGGACACCAGAAATGGGCTTCACACATTGTACCCATGTCGCGAATCGAACCCGGGTCTTCGGCGTGACGAGCAAACGCTTTAACCACTAGGCTACCCGACCGCCCCCGATGCTCATGATGCTAATCACTGGATCGTCTGGCTCAGATTCGATCATTTACACTATAATCCTGCGCCTCTACTGTTTATGTTTGAACGTCCCATTCTCTGATGTGCTGATGTGAGCATTGGCCATTGCAATGAAACAAACCTTTAGTAGCTAGAGAAAGTGACGAATTATTAATATTAAAAGTGAAAGTTGACTGAATATATGTCATATCTCAGACTCTTCTGAAGTTGACCCATGCGTAAGTCTATATATAGCTCCCGTGTTAATGTCTATTTTTAACCTGGAAATCCCAGGTTATAGGGCTACTGCGTTCTTACATGATATATGTGTGTTGACGGAAGCATGGTTTACAGGAAACCGAACGAAGCAAATATTGTGAGTATCGTCTGTAATATTATAGTCCACGATAGCATTTTGTATTGCTGAATGGTCATTCAGACCGTGATTCGGGAAGTAGTTGGTACACGCACCTAGCATGATCACAGCCATGTTACTGCTGACAGCGGCGGTTAACCACACCGAACAACGAACACTGTGGGCCTGCGTCTCTACTGTTTGAACCTCCCCATTGTTTGATGTGCTGATGTCTGAATTACCCATAAGGAACTTTCGTTGCTGCTGAACGCGACGAATTATTAATATTAAAAAAGGAAATTACTTTATATATTTTCCTTTTGACATATGTGCATGCTGACGTGTGTACGTATTTCCGTTCTTGTTGAGTGTAGAAACTGCGAGAGTTTGACAACGTCGCTACAATTATTTTCCATTTGACATATGCTTCAGTAGTTGTGTATTTATACGCTAGATCAAATATGTTAAATGTGCCTGTTTGTTCAGGTCTTTGGAAAATTAAATATTATTTTTTAAAAATCAATTCAATCTTATAGTAAATCTTGTAATTTGGGATAATTCAAAACTGTACTTTGGAAACATGCAACATATATTCCATTTCAATTCATTTACTATTTTCAAAATTTCACAAGGAACTAATAATCATTACTAGACGTGAATTATCTGTTATCAAAACGTCTTTAGATTTTAATATTTACGATGTATTAAATTCTCACATTCAGAAGTAAAATTTAAGGAAGAAAGAGACACTGACATTTATAAAGACGAAATTTTCCGAATGTAGTTTACACACACACATACACACAGAGACACAAACACAGACACACACACACACGCAAACACACACACCTTCACATCTTGTCTAACGACGCACGACGCATGTAGTTTACACACACGCGCACACAGACATACACACGCCACACACCAACACCACACACTGATACAACACACACACATCTTCACATCTTATCTAGTAACGCATGACGTATGTAGTTTACACACATCACACACACTCACACCACACACACATACCCCCACACACACCACACATGCTCACTCACATACACTCACACACATACACATACACTCATACACACACTCATACAAGTACATACACACACACCCCACATACACTCTCACACACACTCACACACACACCACACACATACACACACTCATACATATACATACACCCCCACACACATACACCACCCCCACACATCACACCACCCCCACACAAACACCCCCCACACACCACACATACACTCTCATCCCCACTCACACACATACACACCACACCCACCCACACAAACACCCCCAGCCCCACCCCCACCCCCACCCTCAGCTCCCCCCACACCACCCACCACCCCCACTCACACACATACACACCCACACAGACGAAATTTTCCGAATGTAGTTTACACACAGACATACACACAGAGACACAAACACAGACACACACACACACACGCAAACACACACACCTTCACATCTTATCTAACGACGCACGACGCATGTAGTTTACACACAGGCGCACACAGACATACACACGCCACACACCAACACCACACACTCATACAACACACACACATCTTCACATCTTATCTAGTAACGCATGACGTATGTAGTTTACACACACACATCACACACATACCCACACACACACCACACATGCTCACTCACATACACTCACACACATACACATACACACACACTCATACATACATACATACATACATACATACATACATACATACATACATACATACATACATACATACATACATACATACATACATACATACACACCCCACACACATGCATACACTCACACCACACATGCTCACACTCATACACACACTCATACATACACACACAAACACACACACACACTCTCTCTCTCACACACACTCTCGCACATCACACACACTAACACCACACACACATACCCCCACACACACCACACATGCTCACTCACATACACTCACACACATACACATACACTCATACACACACTCATACAAGTACATACACACACACCCCACATACACTCTCACACACACTCACACACACACCACACACATACACACACTCATACATGTACATACACCCCCACACACATACACCACCCCCACACATCACACCACCCTCACACAAACACCCCCCACACACCACACATACACTCTCATCCCCACTCACACACATACACACCACCCCCACCCACACAAACACCCCCACCCCCACCCCCACCCACAGCTCCCCCCACACCACCCACCACCCCCACTCACACACATACACACCCACACCCACACACACACCCCACATCCCCCCCCCTCCCTCCCCCCCCCCCCCCCCCCCACACACACACACACACCTCTCTTATCTACCATAACGCAGAACTCACCTTTGGTATTACATTTAAGGTGCAAACTCAAGAAGGTATAACTTACATATTCCATTTTGTATTTATCCAGTAAAACAAGCCAAGAAACACTATTCATCTCATATGATGCACATACACACGTGATCACACAGTGATATAAACTGAGACACCCACTGTAGGACGCTATCTCACCATATGACGTGAACAACCACAGCCAGTGATAACCTGGATAAGTCACTGCAGTAAAGTATCTTAATCTGTGATATCGTGAAACACGAAGCACGACCAACCGTCTCCAGCATAATCTATGCTTCTCAGTAGCCATTACTGTATATATCTTAAGAGAAATCACAGTATGATTATGCACAAAGTTGTCGTTTAGAGACGTGTTATATGTTTAAATGGTATCCATGAAGTGAAGAAGTGGGGGACTATTGATTAAGAATATTTACGGTAGTACAAATGTCAAGTTGCCCTCATTTCACAGATCAAAGTTGAGCTGTCATTTCAAATCGTTAGGTTTTCTCGGAGAAAGTGCATGGGCTCCCGAGGAATGATTCGGGCTAGACTTACTCTCAGTCTAAGGGACATGAGTCATACAAATAACAATAAAATAACAAAATAATACCTGAAACATTGTTATTATAATACTTTTGAATCAAAGTTTCTTTACCTCTATGAAATCGGCAAAGGGTCATCGGAGCATCCCTCTTTCGGGGTTATTAAAAGGGCATATATACACGTTCCACTATTTCTAAGTATTCAATAAACATGAGGACTCAGGAGGACTTTGGGAGGGTATGAATATAACATTTTATAAATAAGCCGATTTGACATTTAACTATTTTTGTACAAGTTCAGTTATTTGAAATACACATAACGTGAGTGAGTGAGTGAGTGAGTGAGTGAGTATTCCAGTTATATCGCGGCGTGTCAGTTTAATGTGGGAGGAAAGCCCGAAGTGATGCAGGTCTCAGACGTTTATCACTTCGGTGAAACCCACGAGCACGGGTATGGTGCTGACAAACTTAGAAACATAATCGGGGCGAACCGGGATTCGAACCCACAATCATAGGTTTCTGGGGTGCCCAAGGGACGCAACTCTGCTCAGCGAATAGACGACTGGGCCACCCATGCCCCCAGTAGCAGTAGGAGTAGTAGTAGTAGTAGCCAGTAGCCAGTAGCCCCATGCACATAACGTGTTATACGAACGTAATCTCGACTACAACTGTTCAACTATTAATATTCTATACATATAAACGTGCTTGCAGGTGACCGTACCTCTATATAAATATGTCTGTCTTGGTACATATATTTATGCATACCATATTATTCGTGAAAAAACCCCAGCCTTTGGCTGAGCCAATTTATTTTTTCTTTTGACAAGGACTTTTAGAAAGTATTAAATTTTATTTTTAAATTTTCATTTATATTTGCTTTCAGATAGAAATGTCTACTCAATTTAAGTGTTACCAGGACCTCTGTAAGCAAGGTGCTCAGTATTGCTCTGAGACCAGAAGACGATGCTATTGGTGTGACGACGCATCCAGTGAATGCTGGACACAGAACATGCCAAGCCAGTGCAACGATTACTGTGAAGGTAAAATCCATAAATGCTTTCATTAACGCTTTTCGCGAACACGTGGTATCATCACTTTTAATAGTGACTGTTTTACACATGCTCATGATATAGCTGGAATAATATAATCGAGAGATTTCTAACGAATATGGAAAGGGTTCTGTTCAAAAATATGATGTTGGTTTATTGTTTCAGATTTACGACAACAATTAATGAACGAATCATATAGGAGAGGTTATACAGACGGACTTTCAGCTAATAAAGGTATATCATGGACATTGTTAAATATGAATATCCTTCCATTTGTAGCATTGTATTGAGTGGTCAATCTATATAGGTTACTGTAGTCGTCATCGAGCGCCCAGAGCAAGAGCTGCGTGATACCCAACGAGGCTTACATTTTCGCACTATCTATTGGGCGCGGTTGTTTTCCTACCCGTGGGGCACTGCAATTCCATTGTGACACATGTAGGTCGCGTGTTACTTGAGGTCTTCCAGCTGTGGGTATCGCATTATGTCTACCTTCAAGTATCAGTGTGGCGGTCGGGTAGCCTAGTGGTTAAAACGTTCGCTCGTCACGCTAAATACCCGGGTTCGATACACGACATGGGTACAATGTGTGAAGCCCATTTCTGGTGTCCCCCGCCGTGATATTGCTGGAATATTGCTAAAAGCGGCGTAAAACCAAACTCAGTCAGTTAAGTATCAGTTTCAAATATGTACATGCATCGTTAACATGTTTCCTGTTTCTTCCTCCTCAGGACCAGAGTATCCCTTCATCATATCAACTTCAGCTGTCGTCCTCTTGGTATTACTATGTGGATTCCTTGTTCTGAGAATTTGGAAGTTAATGAAAAGAATCAAGACATCACGTGCAGAACATAGAAGCTTTTCGGGTACAACAGATTCCTAACTTCAGTGTCTCATGCACAATGAGCAGTTTAAAGTTCATAGTAGGATATCCCCATGTGGATTCCTGGTTAGAGTGAGTGAGTATGGTTTGACGCCGCTTTTAGCAATATTCCAGCAATATCACGGCTTAGGACACCAGAAATGGGCTTCACCAATTGTACCCATGTCGGGAATCGAACCCGGGTCTTCGGCGTGACGGGCGACAGCTTCAACCACTAGGCTACCCGACCATCGGGTTAGAATAGATCCCCAGCAACCCATACTGGTCGAAGAAGCGACTAGATGGATCGGGTTGTTAATTGCCCGCCATCGTACCAAAGGGTGGATTGTTGCTCACAATTACAATCACGGGATTGTCTGGTCCAGATTCGACTATTTATAGGACACCGTCATGTAGCTGTAATATTGCTGAGTGCGGCTTTAAACAACAAACAAACAAACACATATTAACACTGTGAATTAAATATTTCCAGTTCACGATCAAGAAACTCCAGAAACAACCCCATTGACACAGCCAGGCGACGAGGTGATCGACATGGACATCACAGAACCTACAGATGATGGCAGTTCAACAAACACACCAGGCCGCCATGCCAGTGTTGATTCGGGACTTGATAATAGAGACAGCATGCACTCATCCATCACGCCATGTCCATGTAATCGCGATGGAAATGCACCGGAAGTATGCATTCGTGGCACGGGTCTGAAGCAGCTGCCCCCACGAAATGACGATGGTAGTCTGAAAACCGCAATCCTGTGTGGCTGAAAATGCTACAAAAAGGAAGTACCTTCAAGAAGTTGGAGTACTTATTTAGGCTAAGATATAGTGATGAACAACTTACAATAAGAACCACGTTTCGGTTTAGGTTCATCACTTGCTTGATAACGGTGTTAGAACCTACACCGAAACGTCGCTCTTAATTGTAATAAAGAAGTTGTTCATCCATATATCGTAACCCTATTTACTTACATATAGGAATGCCGTGGGGATTCGGAATAGAATAGGTCCCCAGTACTCCATGCTTGTCGTACAAGGCGACTAAAATGGAATTAAATTACTATGGCTGTTGAGCTTGCATGGATTCGTGTCAAGTTCAGTATGGCTGTACTTTGTCGATCTGCCTTTTGTCATTCAATCCATGCATGGTATATAGAGAATCTCACCTGAGTGTCTTTTGATATCAAATATATCAACACGAGTTGATAAAAGTGGAAAAATTCCGAGGCTTGCCGAGGATTTTTGCCACTTTTATCAACGAGTGTTGATATATTTGATATCAAAAGACACAAGGGTGAGATTTTATTTATCATCCAACATCATCTTTCAACTTTTTCAATTTGTAGACAGTAATTAGCAGTGTCTTCAGTGTAAAAAGTACTGCAAACAACGTCAGTAGCAGAGCCATTAGTGATGTCATTTGATTGTGACGTCATGGTAACCAGTGATGTCACAATGGTCTGCAAAGCATTGTGATGTAATTTTATTGCAGCGATATTTACAGTGTAGATATCGCTTGATCTCATAAAAGCGATATCTCCTGTGGGAGACAGTTTTGGATGATAAACAGTATTCATTACAGTGTGGTTTCTCCTAAAACCGTACCCATGAAACGAACAATTGTAATATTTATGTCTTTTGTTATTTGTGCTGAGAAAGTCCGCTCGTCATCGTGCATGTGATATCCCGCTTATTGTGTTTTTGTAAGATTTTATTTATGTTGTGTATTAAATCACAAGCAATAGATATTAGAAATAAATTCTGAAAAAATATCCATTGTTCGATTCCGAATTTATCATAAGCATGTGTTTATGACTCGCAATCACATAGTGAGGATACCCGGTGTCCACGACAAGGTGAGCGTATCCTGCTCATGGTAAAGTTAAAACTAGGAATGTCATATTGTATCAAATAAATGTAAAATGATTGAAAAAAAAAAAAAAAAAAAAAAAATATAATAAATAAAACTAGGTATGGGACGTCATTTAGGTAACTGAAACTTCAAAATTGGAAATGTCTCCACACGTCTACCATAAAGCTGTCTACTTTTGAAAGCTGAAATGACAAAGGGTTTGAATGCTGTAACCTTGTTCAAAAAACTTTTTTGCAAGAGTCGTATGACGCACTTTGAAATCTTCGCGGAGAGATCATGCTCGATTGTACTCTAATCCGTGTGAAATGTTGACACCAAAGTCTGGGGCTGCTGGATTTTTGGTCCAAATAAAGCGAATGTTGACTATTTGAAAGTTACAGAACAGCGATGCCGATGTTGACCTTCCCTCCCCACAGAGCAGGAAACAGCACGGGGTCATTCACTCCCTCACTACCCCACCCGTGAAGATCCGGGTTAGAATAGGTCTTCAGCAACTCTTGTCGTAAGAGGCGGCTAACGAGATCGGATGGCCAGGATCGCTCTCGGTTGATAAAGCATGTCATCGTATCCCAATTGCGGAGATCGATGCTCATGATGTCAATCACTGGATTGTCTGGTCCAGACTCGATAATTTACAGACCACCGTCATATAGCTGGAATATTGCTGAGTGCGGCGTTAAACAACAAAAAATTTTTTTGTAATTTAGTGAAACAAAACAGCTGTAGAACTATTTTGTATCATTTATTTTTAAAATACAGGTCCAATTGATAAACACTTTGTTTGCGTTTTCATGAAATTGGCAGTTTGAATGAAACAGTCATGAATGTAATATATGAAATCAAATCAGCCAATCAAATTACATGAAGGTGTTATGACACATATGCACCATAACAATGTGTTATGTTACCCCTTTACACAGTACATGTGGATAATAAAAACAGGTACTATGCTAACGATCATTATACTGTCGGATGAAAAACCTGACCGCTCAAGTATTTTTAAATACGTATAAATACAATTTTCAAATGCAGCAGTCTCCACAGCATTGGACTGCACACCTAACGAAATGACCAGCGTGACGTTCACGTAAGTCTTATAAATAGATTTATTGGGTTTTCCAGTATTAAAATAGCAAGGGCTGGCTAAATCCCAAAAGAAACTGGTTTATCATCGTGAATCAACAAGATTTAGAAGAAAAACAGAGACTGTGTGTAAGAGTACTCCGACGGCAGTACACACAATGCTCACAATAATAATCTCGGGTTTACCTGGTCCAGATTCGAATCTGTACAGACCGCGGTGACATAGATGAACCGTTAGTGCGATTTTAAACACCAAACAAGAAACAAAACAATATACCTGCTGTATGGAAAATGATGTCTACATTTCGTCACTTGTTCAACGAAGAAACTTGGTGGTTCTCATTGTTGTGCAAAAATAGAAGGAATATACGTTGTATATATTTGGCTTTTTACAGTATACAGCTTCGTATCATATTTGTATAGTGTTGTCGATGCCATAAGCCTGTCTAAAAACGTGGTATAATTTGCGATAATGTTAAGGTAATGCGTTTCAGATGTGTTGTGTCTGTAAGTAGTAATGGCAGTATGTCATTTATCACAATATGAGTGAGTGAGTGAGTTGGGTTCAACGCCGCTTTTAACAGTTTTACAGTTATTTCACGGCGTGTCAGCTTAATGTGTGATGAAAGCCCGAAGTGATGCAGGTCTCAGACGTTTACCACTTTGGTGAAACCCACGAGCACGGGTACGGTGCTGACAAACCTAGAAACATAACCGGAATTCGAACCCACAATCATAGGTTTCTGGCGTGCCTAAGGGACGCACAGCGAATCGCGGCGCCTTAGACGACTGGGCCCGCGTGCCCCCTAGCACAATATGAAACGTAATGTACTCTAGCATTAAACTAAAACTGTGGCCCATCTCATAATGTTTACTCGGGGTAAAGGCTTGTCATGTGGTATAGGCTGCTATACTGTAGCTCAAAGTGGCATTGTGAGAATTAAAATGAATTGTTCGTTAACGCTGGACATGTATAAGTATAATGTGTTGTGAAAAACATTAAACTGCTTGGCATTAAAATGCGGCAGCGACGGCCTATGAATATTGGGATGATTTAGAAAGTATGTTTACCATACACTTATAAACATGAAATGGGTCTTTGATTGAGTATTTCTTTAAAAACAGAATTTGTTCTAGAAAAATAGCAAATTGGCCTAAGGTGTTACTCCAAAGCAAGTATTGCTTTGATGTGTGAAAATTATGTCGTACATTAATTTGCTTTCGCACAAAAAATGCTGCTTCGACGTCAATAAAGAAAAAAATTTGGTATCATCATTAATAATAAACACATGCTTAATGATAGTATAGTCGGAATCGCACAATGGAGCAGATTTCTTATGATTAATGGAGTATGTTTTGTAGCTTTTATTGTTAAACTAAAACTACTATGTGGTAGGATGTCGGGATAGTCGATTTGGTTGGTTTGTTGTTTTACACCGCACTCAGCAATATTCCAGCTATATGACGGCGGTCTGTAAATAATCGAGTCTGGACCAGACAATTCAGTGATTGATATCATGAGCATCAATCTACTCAATTGGGATCGATGACATGCTTCAACCAAGTCAGCAAGCCTGACCACCCGATCCCGTTAGTCGCCTCTTACGACAAGCATCGTCGCCTTTAGAATGGGTTGCTGAAGACTTATGCTACCCCGGATCTTCACGGGATAGTCGAGTTGCACTAGCGTGCGATGAAGGAGTACATGTTTAAGCGGTTTGATGACCTCGCTGATGTGAGGCAAACCCGCATGCCATGATCCAGTATGAATCATTGTACAACTTTCGACAGGTTGAGGCCTGGGTGACACACCCATGGGACTACCCGCTTCATATAAATAGCCACAACACTCTGAATCCAATGTGCATGGAAACTGGAAAGTACAAAATATATATGTTGTCTACTTTGAAATACGTTACATAAAGCGTCGGCATAGTTATAACATGCGAGGGGCGCTCGTTCAATGGCATTGGCAAACACAACATTGTTATTGTGTTCTGGGTTTTCCCAAGCCTATGAAAGGAGAATGTCACCGTGACCTAAAGGACATTCTGTATCGTTGGGACATGCTGTACATGTATGCGTGCATAATTAAGTTTTATTCATATCTCTGTAAAGGCCACGCATGAATATCATCTAATTTCAACTATGTACTTGTGTATGAATACAATAGACTAAGTATACACAGCGTGTATACGGCTGTAAATGTATGTGGGATAACGGCTGACTAAATGGAGCGCTTGTATTATTTATAGACGCGTTTAAAAAACGTATCTAGGAAATGGTATTAATGCGGAAGTGTACACACGTTTTTGACCCACATGTACGGAAATCCCCTCTTTATGCAGAAAATGAACGACTCATCCATATACTGCCCTTCTCGTTTGAACATTCTCAGGTGGGTAGTCGCACAATTTACCTCTCGTACATAGAATAGGTTTAGGTTACCTTACCGTTATTTTCAGGTTACGATGTGTTCCTATTTAATAATCTCTATGGCAAATAACTGGCTTGAAAATTCTGTGTCCTTTATGTCAGGAATCTTATATTTATAGGAATATATTTATGAACAATAAGTGAACTTGGACTCATGTTTTTTATAAATTATTATATACTAGATCGACATCGATACATAATGCCCAAAATTGCGAAGCGAGGTTTGGGGAGATCTGGGGAATCTCAAGTTCGTCCCCCGAAGAAGAAAGATTCTTCCCCCCGGCGGATTGATGAGCCGCAGAGAGGGGGTGAGGGTAGGAACCTGACCCCTACTCCTATGAGAGATCAAGGTAAGTGTAACACACCATTCAATACTACAAACTAAACAATCTAATATTTAGTGAAACGCACTATTCATCCTTGTATGAAAAATGATATTTATTTTACATTTCTACGTATAAGTATACAAATACAGATAGTAGTTTATTAAAACAGTCTATAAATACAGAATAAGGTAAATACAGATGATTAGCTGAATAATAGTTCCCAAAACTGATCTCTATCACCAGTGTTTTGCGAAAAAGTCTTTGGTTTCTTTTACGCATGCAGGGGTGGCCCACTTGTACCAGGCGGCACAATTCATTGTGCAGAGTTGCGCGCGCCAGAAGCCTATGATTGTGGGTTCGAATCCCGGTTCACCCTGATTATGTTTCTAGGTTTGTCAGCGCCATATCCGTGCTCGTGGGTTTCACCAAAGTGGTAAACGTCTGAGACCTGCATCACATCGGGCTTTCCTTCTACTGAAAGTAGTTATATGACTGGAATATTGTTCAAAGAGGCGTTAAACCGCACTTAC